CTGAGGTTTGGATCAAGTATGCCATGAAAATTATGGCTGCTTATCTAATCTCTGAAGCTTCCTTTCTTCCCTTTCCCTCCACAGTCTTGAACTCTCCCTCCACAGCATTATCACAATTCATTACTACTCACACCAGTCCTTCTCACTGTTTTTAGAATATCATGTGTATATCTCACCAAAGCCTTTTTTTTCTTCTAACCACAAATATTGGTCTGATAGCTGTTTCAGATACTAAATCTCGGGATCTCAGGAAAAGAGAAGTGCAACAGCAGGACTCAAATCCTGTATCTGGTGGATTGAGTAATTTTTCATATCCACAGATGTTTCCCCAGGACTGAATGAACTAGAATTCACCGCCTCCATTCCAGAGTCCCACTGCAAGGATATGCCCTAGAACTTGTAGATGCTGCATACAAAAAATCATCTATGTATTTGCACAGCTATATAGGCAATTTGGACTTTAAACTTTTTATTCAAACCCATTACAGCTGGAATCGATTCAGTTTGCTGTTTGTGTTCCTTAGTGTGAAGAAGTGACTTCTTTTTAAAGCAAATGCTTGATCTTCAAGCTAGATGGACCATCAGATACTGATGACTAATGACAGCTATGTATTGTTTCACTTTAATCCTCATTGATATTAATGGAGACACAGTTTTCAGACTGGGGCACCTAATTGCAAGTAACCTGTTCCCTTCATGCTTGAAATATCTACCATACTGATGCAAGAACATTTTAAACCAAAGAAAATTTGATCAGGTAAAAAGCAATTTGATCTCTGAAAAAAGCAACTTTAACAAAATCCAAAGCTTTCGTCAATTTTGATGAAATCTTACATGTGTCAACTTCTAGTAAACAATCACTGTTGTATTTTTTTAATTTCCATTTTATTTCTACTTCATCACTTCATTTATTTTACACCTTTGCCATAAAACACTGATACATAGCATGCTTCAATACTAGCAGAGTTTCCATGACATGAAAAATTTCAAGTTTTACTCCAAGTTAGAACAAAAAGACATTTTATGCTGAACAACAGAAAATGCCATTCTCAACCAGCAATACAATACCTAATTTAGGAACCTAATTTTCATGGACTTAGATGAATATAAAAGTGTTCAAGATAGATATGGGCTTCACTTTCAAAAAAACTCAGAAACAGAAAATAATCATCAATGCTCAGGACTGAGTTTTTAAACATTTGGATTTCTCATTTTTCTTATATATGTTTATTAAAAACCAAGCAAACACAAAGAAAGGAAGAAAATTTTTCCCAACAGTATAATCCCATCTACCAGCAGTGAGGAATCATTCTGTTTCTCATCCAAATGGACATTTTTTACTGTCAGTGACACCCTATCACCTTGGCAATAACATAGGAAATTTCAATATACAGGCAAAATAGGAACGAACTAACCCCTTTAACTTTAGCATTTCGGCCACATGAAGATTCAGACCAATGTATTTTGGTTTTTTGTTCCAGAATGCCTTTCCATGCAAATACAATCTGCTGGAATAACACGAGACTACATTGTGAAATAATAATTTTGTTAAGAAACTAACAAATTTTGCTGTGAATCCCTACATAGAAAACCATTCCTATACACTGCTCTGTCAATTTACCCAAATTCCATAGAGAAGGTCACTTTTAACTGGTGTCCAGGCAAATGGTTACCACACCAACACCTCCATAATCACTAACAACAGCAACACCTCACTCTGGTTTTAGCCTCATATTTTGTCCAAAGTCTAAATTCATGTTAAACAAACCTATACCAAACCAAATCAAACAAAAAAGATAAATATTTATGACATTTCATAACTTTTCTAAATCACAGTGGCTTAAAGTAAAAGAATTTGAAATTAATTTCAGAAATTAATTTGAAATTAATTTCAGTTCAGGAAACTGAGTAAATTCATGTCCCTTATTTGCTGTAGACAAAGATTACACTCTTACAACATTCAGATAAAACTAATTCAGATTGAATTAGTTCAACCCCTTTCTCTCAAGCATCTGATCAATAGAACAGAGCTTTAAAATTATCAGAAAGAGAGTGAACTTCCCCAGAAGGCCACCTCAGCTGAAATCTACACTAAAACCTCATTTGCTTTAATCTAGCATATAAAACATAGATATGTCATCTGGCATACTAATGTATATATTCCTCACTATTCACAAAATTTGTATGAGTCTGGACCATTTCCTTCATAAATCTTAGGGGTGTAATAAAGAGAAGCCTTTCACAGTATGTCACTGTGATTCTAATTCCATTAACAACTTTATTTTACCAGAAACTGTGGCCCTCCAGATATGTGCTCATACAACTTCACAGAATAACAGCACTCAAAGGAAAAAAAAAAAAAAAAAAAAAAAAAAAAAAAAAAAAAAAAAAAAAAAAAAAAAAAAAAAAAAAAAAAAAAAAAAAAAAAAAAAAAAAAAAACAAAAAAAAAAAACCAAAAAAAAAACACCACCAAAGCAACTGTTAGGAGTTGTAATCAGCAAAATTCCAGAAGAGAAAATGGGATTAACCTAATAGCTTTTTCATATTGGTACTTGCTGTATCTTTAGAATAAACATTTATGGAAATAAAATCGGGACTTTCTCAGACTTTCTGCTTCCTTTGCAATATTCTCCCCCTTTTTCTACAAACTACAGAATAGGTTTACTTCCCTTTTCACTTTGCACCTTCAGATCATGCTATCCAAAGAGCATTTAAAGGAGAACTGTACCTAATTCAGTCAGTCCATCGGATCTGCACAGGATAAGCAGCTCTTCCCACACCAGACAAACCATTCCATGCTGTTCATTATATTTTTAATTATAGATGGTATTTCTCAGCACTAATCAGAAGGACAGCTTGGTCATTGCTCAAGAAGTCATACCCTTGTAACATTGTTTCAAACACCTGAAAGGTCAGTACCAATAAAAATATGTGCTCATAGTGAAGAGTTCCTTTATTTGACATCAGCTGCCCAACACATCTCACTTCTGTCCAAACACCATGCAGTCTAAAACCAGAGACTGGAAACAAGTTACCCACAGACCCAACAGTGTACTCAAATACAGTGGTATTGATCCTTTTTCCCGTTTTGCTCGCTGTAATGTGAAAAGCCATTGGATTCCTTCCAGGGCAGTTTCCCCGACTGTGGATCTGAGGAAGGCAACTCGACAGTGTCAAATTCAGGCCTCTCTTCTCATACACTCACCAAGAGACAATAATACAGGACCAAGCCTGCTGTCCTGACAGCAGAGATTCAGGAAAGAGGGTGTATCATTTAAACAAAATAATGAAATATTTATTCCATTGGTATCAGAAATCTAACTTACGCATTACAGCCTAACATAAACGTCTATGATGTGGAAAGAGAAGGTGCAAGTAATGTAGACTGTAGATCCTTTCGGAAAAAATGGCTTCTACCACCTCAGCTGAAAGCATTGGGCATGTGAGCAATACAGCAACATCTAAAGACCCAAAAAAACTTGGGACTCCTGGTGTTAAGTGCTTCAACCACAACAGCCAGAGGATATCGCTACAAAGAATGTACTATTAAAACCAAAAGCAAAACAAAACAAAAACAAACAAACAAATACAAACAAACCAACCTCAAATACAAATATACTAGGAGAATGGGAAAATATGTTTATTTCCAGATTCTTACTGTAAAACTGAGCCACACACATAGCAGACTACATTGGAAGGGTATAGAGAGTTAAGTAAAACACATCAAGGTATCTCATGTTGCTGAATCAGAAGGTAACAACAACTTTTTTACTTCAAATCCTTTTAGAATATGTGAACATCTACTTCTGAGTAGGACTGTATGTCCAGTGGATTTTCATATTTTTGGACAGCACAACATACCTTGAAATTACTCCAAACCTGAATAACAATGTTTTAAGATTAACTCCAGTCACAGTTTCACTCATCCTCGGTGGTGATACAGCCCTGGAAGGGGTTGAAGATCAAAAATACTCCCACCACTTGTTCTTACGCAAGCGTGGCCACGCTGGGTCAGACCAGAGGTCCATCTGGTTGGATATGCTGGCTCTGACAGCAGCCAGTAGCAGATGCCTAAGGAAAAGGATACAAGCAAAGCAAGCATGCAGTGATCCTTCCCCTACTTGCACTTCCAGTATCCTGTGGTTTTAGTGCTTCCTAAGCCAGAGGTAGTGACAGCAGTTTTATATGCTGAATTACAGGATTCAAATCCCCAGCCCTTTATTTTGTGTAACAACGGGAGAAAGAAATGTTTTGCAGTTAATTAATTCATGTGTTAAGCAAGACCTGTTTCTTTAGCCTCAACACAATTTAAGTGTTCCTGCTGCAAAATTACATTTGTTTAGGCACATTTCCATGTCACACATCTACACACGAATTCCATCGATCTTCTCATTTCATTTGCTGTTTGATGCTGCAAAGAATCCACAGTTTGTCCATAAAGATGCCAAAAGCCTAGAAACTTATTACACACTGCTCACAGTGTGGGTTCAGATACATTATCAGCATAAAAAGAAAAAGGCAAATTAGGCCACAGTAGGAGAACACATTTTTAATATTACAGTCTGCAGCTTGAATCTCTAATTTAATGCTGCTGTTTCCCAAAGTTATGCCGCATCATTCTAGGTTGCTGAATTGAAGAGATGACAGTGAACCAAATTTTTACAAGCAACTGGGCAATGCAGATAGTCAGTACACTTGATGACTTCCAGAGAAACCTTCAGGGCCAAAGTGAATGAGACATTTTCAAAGAATTCTTTAGGCCTTCATATTGATAGGAATTCGGTATGAATCTGTTCACTGCACCAAATCTGGAGAAAAGGGAGATTCTAGTGCATTCTTCTAAAAGAACAGAAAGGAAAAATACTCAGCACCTGTAAGTAAAATGCATATACCCTCTGCAAATGCTCAGTTGGTTAAATACACATGCCACACACAAACATCACAAAAATTTTCCTATCAAGAAATCATGACTTACCGAGAGGATTATCTATGCCATTATGGCTTCTCTCTGGAGCTGATAGTTATCTTCTACATCATATCTATTGTTTCCTCCAGCTACAGCAGAAATCTTGAAAGTAGATATCAAAGAATAGCAAAGAAATACAGTCAGCAAGGAAACATAAGTTGCAGAACCTCCTCATGCACCTTCCCAAAACTCTGGTCAACAGGAGCAACTACGTTTTGCTTAATTTAAAGTTTAATTTAAAAGTGGTGACCCTCCCACCTAAGAATTAGAAAACTGATATTGAAGAACCTTAGGGACAATGAAACTTTACATTATGTTGTTTTTATGAAGTTGTAGATTTTTCTGTTTAGGAAGAAAAGAAACAGACAGCTCATATATATGAAAAGTTTTGACCTAGTCAGATGGAAGCAGAAAGGCAAAGACCTAGCACCTGTTGACTTTATCCTAAACAGCAGTCTTTAATATTAGACAGGTTCAATTTCAACAGTTCCAGTACCCTGAGATTTTATAATACCATTCAGATGAGGTGTTTACCCACTAAAATTACTTCAAAAAGATAATGAATTCCCACCTTGAAAGTTTACTTTACTAATATTCAGAGGATGCACATGCATGCACTATAAAACCAGTCACCAATGAACACCATGTCTGTCCTGGCTGCTAGCTACCAAATGGCAGGCACGGTAGAAAATTATTCAGAATTGTAATTAATCTCATGATTATTCAGCCAGCATTTCATTTAAGATGCTTACAGCAAGTCATTTTACATTGTTCAAAACAAGCAGCCTGCTACCATTAGATATTTCCTCCACGCAAATTAAAGAATACACAGTACAAGAGCATTTCAAAAGAACTAAATAATATTCAATTTACATATCAGCAAATTGTTGTCAAAAATTGCAAAAAACTAGCTGTTCTTCAGGATGGATATTCAGCATGTTTGGGCCTCTTCAGCATTTCATGCCTTGCTCTGGGGAATGAGCAGTTTGAGACCTTTTGGTCTCTATTATAATCCAAAGTATTGTGTTACTTGAGAAAACAAATTAAACACAGCAATTAACTGGGAAGAAGGTGTTTGTGATTCTTGATATCCTGAAGTGGAATTAAGTTAGTACTGGCACTCATATAGCAAACATATTATTACTGTCGGATGTTTATGCGGCAACACTGCAGGGCCTCAGAGCCTTTAAATTAAATTTACACGGTCAGTTAAATAGAGAATCAATAGTACATATGTCTGTAGTGTTTGAGATATGTATGGTTTGCTAGACTGAACCACCAGGTAAGCTTTAAATTCCCTTTTTTATCATTTTTTTTTCAAGAAAATATATAAGAAGATAGGAAGTGTTTAAAGATATCAGGACCATTTGTAGGCTGATTAGAATATAAATTTTACACCGTAGCTAATAATTTTAAAATTCCATATTCAAGCTTTTCTAGAACTCTGATAACAGCACTATGAATCCTGGGACACAATTCATCTTGTTCTGCTGATCTGTCATTTGCGCTTCTGGGTCATATTTTGTTGCTGTACTGCTGGTCAAGGTGGGTTTAGGAAAAGGTTCTTTTCTAAATTTTTCATTTGATAGGCGGTACATTGTTACTCTGAGCCTCTAATATAGGGTCTTCAATCATTTTTACCCTGATGGTTGCTCTTTTAAATTTCTTTTCAAGAAGTTTTCTTGGGGTTTATGTGTTTTCCTTTTTTGAATTTAGATATTACTACAGTAAGGGGTTTTTTCCCTTCCACAGGACACAAACTTTGAAATAGTCCTGATCTCTTCAGCCTGATAAGTAGTAATATCTTGAAGTGTACTCTGTGCCATGTTAAGGATTTAGCCAATCTTCACTTCTCCTTTATTGATTTTGACTATCACTAATAGAGAAAAACTTTCTAGAAAATACCAATGAGAGTACTTCTTAGTGGCAAAAATACAAGCCTGAACTGCTTCTGATGCATTAGAGAAATTCCTATGCCACTAAGTCAACCTCTGTGAATGTGAGATTGTCATAAACCACAAATCATAAGTTGCTGATTAATAAAGATCATAAATATCATTCATATTATGGGGTAATACTTTTTATGTAAAAAAAAATAAGAATTGCTTAAACTGTTTGCTTATAATCATGATTTTACTGCATAATACTAAGATTTCCTCATTTTTTTATATAAAACAACCATAAAGTTATTCCATCTTGCTTTAAGTACATAATAAGGGTAGTCAAGTAAAATGCAGTTTCATATTCCATTTCCAAGAAAGTCCACAATGTGTGGTCATTTTACAAGGTAGCATCTAGAATCTTAAGAAAGCTAAACAAAACAGAAGACTTGCCTAAAACTGAAACTTTTACTGCCACAGTTTTGTTAAAAGTAGAAAAGAATTAAGGTAGACCAATAGAAAACCTGGAGCAACTGAAGTGGTATCACCCCCTCCATTACCAAAAAAAATCCCCTTTTTGCAAATTCAACAGTCAAAATAAGCTCTGGAAAAAATGCTTCTCATTTGCAGCTGCAATTATGGAATCTGTAGTCTTAATTATGGAAATTTGTAAGCATAACACAACCAGTAAACCTTGCATAGACAAATACAGCCTTAGCCACTTTCATAAAATAGCAGTTAGCAGTACTGTGTTTCTGAGACACAAGTAGAGCAAAGGTTGATACTGGTTTAGCACCAGATCTGAGGCCTATGTGCACAAGCACAAGCTTGACATAATCTATCAATCACATTGACTACTACTGTAAATTCATTTTGAGATATACTGGAAAGACTAATTTTAAAAATCAAAGGTAACTTCATTTTCCAAAATGTGTGGTGTTTAAATTTAATTAAACATTAGATTTGCATTCTTTGGAATAGACCTACATTTGTTTGTCTAAATCTACAAAATAAACAAACTACAGCGGCCAATATGTTATTTAGTTCATATTAAATCCTTCACCTTAGGATGTGTAATGGCAAGCAGAATTGGATTAAAAATATTGACCACATGTTTCTGCTAAACTGATTATCGCTAAAAATTATCAGGGTTGATATTTAAAGGCTAGATTTTCAGGAAAATTCAGCATTCAACATTTAGACACCTAACCCAGCAGAAAGACTTTCAAAAGAACTTTGTCCCCATTTTGGCACTGAAATGTATTAATTAGATTTCCAAGGACTCAATCCTACATGGTATCAGGTGTTCTGGCTCTGCAGCAGTGAAGCACTTCAGCACATTTAATTTAAACATGTAAATGGTCCCACGGAAGCCATGGGGCCATTTGCACACTTAAAAACCCTCACACAATCTTATCACACTGCTGGCTCATGGCCAAAGTTTTCAGAAACTCATAGGAGTGATCCCAAAAGTAGTGATGAGGCCTGGGCACATTTAAAAGCCCCCATACATACTGAACCTTGATTAAAATAAAGAAAGTTGGTTTCCCATTTGTCTCAGAGTTTGCCGGTAGTTGCATCTTTACTCACTTGCTCCTGTTCGTAGAAGGAAAGAATGTATATAAAGTCCTGTTTTATTGAACAAAATGGGAAAAAAAACGACCAAAGGTGAATATAATTATCTTGAAATCTAAGTATGCCCTTCCATGAAGTGCTATATTTCTAAGCTCTGTGAACATCTCCACAATCCCTCCACAATCTGCTTCTCTTTATTCATTTACCTTTTTGCTCACTGATGTCTCTCATCCATGGACAACTGCAAATCAGCTGAACTGGCAAGCATTCCCTCTGACATTTCATATCCCATCAGTTTCAGTTCAATTTTGGCTTTTCCACAGTCTTGGATGTTGGCTTCTTATTGTTTCTACCACCACTTCATAAAGGCAGTGGTCACCGTTCTTTTCATTTAGATCAAGTGAAAAGTGATTACTGTTGGTGAAAAGCAGCTAGGGAGATGCCACCTTTAATAAACAGAAAATAAAACGCTGCACTGAAATTGGCCTAAGGGCTGTCATAGCATCAGTGTGAACCATCAGCCATAACTGGATCTGTGATCACTCTACAGACTGGAGAAGGCAGCCACTACTGCCAACGTGAGTTACCCACTCCAACACTACATGACCAAACTCCTTCCCTCAAGTCTCCATGGCCATGGAAATTCTGTGGCAGTGGTACTGCTCCTGCACTGCTCACCCACGTGCATGAGCCACATGAGCCACACCATCTGGCTTTACAGTTTACATTAGCAGCACTGTAACAGCATTTGCAATTGCTTCTGTGGGACATCTCCTTTTGTTTCTAGGAAGCTGACAGCCTCCCAACTGCAGCTCCTCTCTAATATGCAGTGAGCACTGGTCAGGGATGCCAAGATGATAGTGTCAGTTCCAGCACTACATCTGATGGCATCTTTCTGCTACCATGTGCAAAATTTCACACAGCCTTTTATCCCTAGTCTGAGCTTTTACACACATACATACACAGCTGTTAAAATTGCCAGCATTCTTCAGCAATAGGACATTAACTGCTGTGAATTTATCACTTTTATAGAAAGTTTTTTGGGTAAAGAGAATTAAAACTGTTCTTCAAAATGACGTACATTCTTATGATGTGTAGTAAACATCACACTAAAGTGGGGGGGGGGGGGGGAGAAGGGGGAAAAAAAGAGCATTCCATGCAGCCAGCAGCTGTCAAGCATCAAAGATTTCATTTCAACATTATGTCAAAACCCACGATGCTTTAAGGCTTGTCAAAACATGAGTACATCTCCAAGGCAGATGTCTTAACTCTTGAGGTTGTTGAGTGGCTGGATTATAGAAAACTTACCCCAAAAAACAAGAAAAAAAAATCAGCCATGCATCTAAAATTTTTGAGCAACAAAAAGCATCCATACAAATGCAACAATAACAGTCAGCCTTACTTTTGGCTACATTTCTATTTTGTCATCTGTATCTACTATATCTAGCTCTCCTTAACTGCCAAGGCCCTTCTGATTTCACTTGCTCTCCAGCTCTAAGCAATTGTTACTGCTTTCTAGTGGCATTTTTTCCTACTTGTATTTACATAGGTATCACAGATTTTTATATATCTTAAAATACACATTAATAGACCCTGCAAGAACTTATCAGTCCAAGGTTTTAAAAAAATTCATA